TTTCGCCATCATATTTGAGAGACAGTTTTACTAGATATATAATTCTTGGCTGGCTATTTTTTTCCTTCAAGGCTTTATATATGTCATCCGATTGCCTTTTTGCCTGCATGGTTTCTGCTGAGTAGTCCGAGCTTATTCTTATTGACTCTCCTTTGTAGATGACTTTTCGTTTATCCCTAGCCACTCTTAAAATTCTCTCTTTATCTCTGGTTTTGGCAAGTTTGATTATACTATGTCTTGGTGACTTTCTTTTGGGATTTACCTTATATGGGGTTTGATGAGCATCTTGGATAGATATCTTCTCATCTGTCATGATATCAGCAAAGTTTTCTGCCAACAAATCTTCAACAATTCTCTCTGTATTTTTTGTTATCCCCCCCTGTTCTGGTACTCCAATCACTCGTAGGTTATTCCTCTTGATAGAATCCCACATAATTCTTAGGGTTTCTTCATTTTTTTAAATCCTTTTATCTGATTTTTCCTCAGATAAGCTGGTGTCAAGTGCTTTATCTTCAGTCTCACTAATTCTGACTTCCACTGCCTCAATTCTGCCCCTATGACTTTCTATTGAGTTGTCTAATTCTGACATTTTATTATCTTCTGGATTTCTGATTACTTTCTCTCTATGGATTCTTGCAGTCTGTTAAGTCTGTCATTATGCTCTTCTCTAATCTTTTTAATTTCCTCTATTGCATGTTCTGTGTTTGCTTAATTTCCTTCCTAATCTCTTGAAGGTTCTGTATATCAATCTTTTGTATTCTGCCTCCAGTAATTCCAAGAAATTTTTCTCCTCTGGAAAACTTCTAGATTCTTTATTTTGGGAGCTTGCTGAAGCCATTGTGGACTCTCTTTATGTGATTTGATATTGACTGTTGTCTCTGAGCCATCTGTAAGTTATTATATTTATTTATTTTATGTTCACTTACTGTGTCCTAGCTTCTTGTTTTGTTTTGATGTGCCCAAATAGGCTACTCGTCTGAGCTAGTTTGATTACTGGCACCTTTGAAGCTCTACAATCCTGTCACCATGTGGTTAGATCTGTTACTTGGTATGTGAGCTCAGGAGTCCACCCACTCCTGCTATATGGATTCAGCTCAGGTGCCCAGGTAGATAGCCACCAAGTGTGTGGTGGAGGCTCTCATCTACAGTCCTAGACAGGCATGGGTGATTGGTGTAGGCACAGGCATCTGGCTGCAGCAGGGGGACACACTCTGAGCAAGGCAAAGGGCTGATGGCCACCCCTGAGTGTACAGGAAGAAGGTGTGTCACTGTTCCCTAGAGTGCATAGGTGGGTGGGTTTTGCAGCTGGACTGTAAGCACCTAATGCTGTTGGCTGTAAGGACTGGGGGGCACCTCTTATTCTTGGGCCCCTATTGCAGGTGGCTAGGTAGCATGGGTGGAGCCGCCAGTCCTCAGGCCCCTGATGTGGGTAGGTGAAGACCCTGCTTAATGGGCAGAGCAGTGTCAAACGTCAAGGACCTGCCACTTGACAGCTGAAACAGCTGAATTTAGAATTCTTGTATATACCCTGTTGTACTCTCTTATTGAGGGCCTACGCTGTTGAAATGGGCCCACACGAGTCTATGCAAGGGGAAAGGCACTCAAAGTCTGTGGATCCCTTACGCCTGTGCCTAGGCAAAGGATCTGTGCCTACCCTGAGTTCCTGGCTTAGGGGAGCCAGTAGTTTATTTTTTCCTATTTGTTAATTTGTTCACTCTCCAAGGCCAGGAGAATGGCTCAGGGCATGTGACGGATCCTACTTCCAGCCCAGGGGACTCAGCAATTTCTGAAGCTGGTCCGAGACCCAGTGCAGAGCAGGGAACACGGAGGTAAATGGGAGAGAGTTTTTTCCCTAAGTGGGGTGTTTTTGATCTGCACGGTAGGCCAGACGCAAGTACTTATCTTTCGCTGATCGAGGGCTGCTTCTCACTGGTTCTGGGTGGTGGAGTAGACTCTCTGCTGCTGGGTCTCTCCCGGTGTGGAATACGCCTCCTGAGCACTGCTGCTTGCCTGCCTCACTGCTCACCCATGAGCTGATCAGGCCGGAAGGGCTCAGGCTCTCACCAGGTCAGGTCTGGCCACTCCTCACTGCTTCCAAAACATCTCTCCCTCCCCTTGCCACTCAGTCCGGTTCCTCAACTTTGCCTTTGATGTTCAGGGCTCCTAGATTGTCATAGATAATCGATTCACTTGTTTTTCTCAGTCTTTGTTGTAAAAGGGCCCACCAGATGCGTCTGACTACTCCGCCATCTTGGCCCCGCCTCCTCCATGTATAGTTTTTAATGTGGTGGATATTTTTTAGTATACTAAAATCCCTTTGAGGATGTTACTTACACTTCAGTATGCACCATGGTAACCACCAGGCTGCTAGATGCATACATATGCACTTACAAGCCTGCCTGTTGTAGTTAATGCTGCTCCTTCTCCTTCTTTGAGTACCTTCCTTCCCTTCTCTACCTGCCCTCTTCCTACGTATCCTCAAGGTCCAACTCAGATGGTGTCTCCTCTGCTCCATCTCCCCTGGTTTTTCCTTTGTTTAAAGCTGTACTGTCCTCAGAGCTCATTACAACACACCGCTGTTGTAATGCCTCAGTTCAGATGTGTGTTGTTTATGGACTTATCTCCCCCACAGGTTGTAACCTCCTGGAGATGGCAGTACATAATTTATTCATCTTTGTGCTCCCCACCCCGTCCAAAGCCTGGAACTTATTCCTCAAACATTCTCTCATTCATTGAGTACCTACATATGCCAGTTATTGTGCTAATTGCTATCAGTAACACAGTGAGCAAAACAGATATGGGCCTACCTGCCCCCATGGAGCCAATAGTGTGTGGAGGACCCAGACGTTCATCAGATACTCACACAGAAGGATGCAAAACTGCAACTTGAATGCCCTCTGCAAAGCAGCAGTGCCTGGAGTTAGGAGAGGAGGCCGGAGGTGTCACAGCTGACTTCCTTAAAGAACTCGAGAAAGGCACTCTACGAATGCTTGATGAATTGTATGTAATTGAACAGTGGCTGCTCAATAAATACTTGTTGATTAGTTGATTGATTGTTGGCAACGTCTTCGGAGATCCCGAGAAGAAAGGGCCTCCAGTCCCCATCATTCTTGTTATGTAATTATTTCAGTGCATTTAAAGCTCCCCGTTTTTCATCTTATACTTTAAACATCAGGGAAAACGGATGGGCCAACTTTATAATATTTTAAAATGACTGATGGTGTTTTGGAATATTACATAGCTATAAGACTTTATGTATATTTAATATACTTATTAAAATATGCAGTAAGCTCATGGCTGATTTTCTCTAAGGATGTCTCAGTGCCGAGGTGGGACTTAAATGTTTAATACTAATAATAACACTTATATCTCATGTTTCTCTAGTGCTTTTTGCCTTGAGGATCCCAAAAGCCTGTGAGCACCACATCAAGTGGATGCAGCAGGACTCGCCAGCAGGCCAGCGGGGTGCACATCTGGCCCATCTTCCCCCAGGAGAGAAGAAGGGGTGACTCCAGCTTAACAGTTTCACTCCTCCAACTTCCTCTACCTACATGTATTTAATTTTCTCCTCCCAGTCACAACTTCCCTTTGGCTCCCTCTGAAAGGTAACCACTTGTGGACGATTGCTGCTGCCGGCTACACACCATAGACACTCCCTGTCTCAGAGCATGAAGAAAAGTGACGTTATGCTCTTGGGGTAGGGAAAGGTACATGCCATTCCTTTGGCTGATCAAGGACAAGACACAGGGCCTAAGACTGGATGACTCAAGCAGGGAAGTCCAAAGGGGAAGTCTCCACTTGTCATCTAAATCCACGCTCTACCCCTTCTTTCTCTAGGTCACGGAGACAAGGACTGGTCCTCTGGGCTGCAGCAACTATGATAATCTGGACTCAGTCAGCTCTGTCCTGGTACAGAGTCCAGAGAACAAAGTACAGTTACTAGGTAAGCAGCAGCTTGATGTTTTTCATGCCTTTCACACTTGGTGAAAACCGAGATCACTAAAGGGCAGGAAAAAGTCTTGCCTGCCCCACTTGGCCAAACTCTTCTTAAGAACTACCATGACTTCCGGGGCCTGTGACAACTTTTCATTATTCTTTTGAGAAAATCTATGACATGGTTTGACCTACACCTAACCTAAGACCCTTGCTCATCTACTTGATGTCCAAATATGGTGTTCCACTTCATATTCCTTCCCAAGACCTCTGGCACTATCCTATTAGGAATATCATATTATCCTTATAAGCCTTAACCTTGATGATTTCCTTTGTTGCTCCAAGAACCCTCTGCTTTACCCTAATGGCACACTGAGGAATAACTTGCCTTTGCAGAGTGTTTATGTGGCTACCATCTGGAGCTCAACTAAGAGTTATGTAGCTTGTGGGGCTATTGGCTACTTTCACCACAGCCTAGTCTCTGTTTTCTGTTGTTAGTCTGTGATCTTCTATGGGAGATCAGGAGAAGAGTTTGCAAGGAATGGGAGCCTTGATTGGAGGCAGAACAAGCAAAATGGGGAATAAAAAAGGAAAGGGAATTGCACTAGATCTGGAGTCCAGGAGATAAGGGGAGGTACTTGGTTCCTGTCCTCTGTTCCACTCTGGTATCCTGGGGCCAGGGATATGCAAATTGATTCACACAGAGCTCTTTGGCAGTGTGGGAAGTTCATTTTACTTAAGGCCTAACTGAATTGGACTCTGTTTAAGATATTATTGTCCTGGCATTATAAAACCATCTCACACAAGATCTATGATTACCAGTTCCAGGCAATCTGAGCCAGATGCAACCCACCAGCGCCTCAGAAATCAAGGCATATGTGATAAAGAGGAGTAAAAGACTCTTGATTTTTTTTCAGAGCTACCTAATACAATCAGCATCCCTCTTCTCCTATGTCCCTGGATGGGCTGGGTTTGCATCTGGAAATTAGTGATGAGTGAAGTTCAAAATGTCTGGTGGTTCATTTGGAATAGTTTATGCCATTTAATTTTATAGCCCATCACTCATGCAGATATTGCTCAGGGCACTTATTTTCTAGCAGTGGAAAACGTTATGGTGAGGAGGAGGGAGGTAATGGGGGGGAGGTAAATGGGAAGGACTTGGAGAGTGGTGAGTGTTGAAAGCAAGCATGTGAACAGGGTTTGTGGGGAGGACTGTGGGCACGATGTTAAGGCAGGGAAATTTGGGAGCAGCTTCAGATCAGGAGGTATACCTCAAACAAGCACAATGAACACCCACTGCTGCTGACAATTTTAAGAAATGTTTTGAGGTCTGCCAAGACTGGGCTATATGCTTTGGGCTCCCTGTCTCCATGCCAAGGACAAGGGCAAGGGTGTGAAAATAAAGACCTGGCAGACAATTGAGGAAAGGGGAGCATATCATACCCAGAAGTCCTCAGGTCCCTCACTCTCCTGCCACATTGTTTTATAACTGGGAAGGCCTTATTGGAGATCCTCCTGCAAGTCTGATCTTGAACACAGCCCAGGCTGCATCCTTAGTTCATCCCTTGGTAATCTTCCAACAGCTGCCCTATGTATGGCTTAAAGCCAGCTAGGAATATGTTGTACTACTATGTGGCCAGCACAGGGGTAAACTGATATACACCACAGATGGGTATATACTGATTTCCCACAGATGGGAAAACTGAAGCTTGGAGCAATTTAGTGGATTATATCCAAGATTACAGGAAGCTAATTGGAAAAGTAGAGCTGAAAGCCATTCATATCAAGACAGGTCTGACTGATCCTGGGGTGTCTACCACAATCCTACTTCCCAATCTCCTTAAGAGTTAAATCATATTGAGATGGGGCAACCAGTCCTAGTTATAAAGTATGACCTGAATGGGAAAAGGACAGGGTCTGATACCAAGCAGACTTTACCAGCACTGTGACCTAGGGTAGTTTCCTCATGGCCTTTGGACTTTGGTTTCTTCATCTATAAGTGCCTCAGTATGACTATGAGTGTTACTTGCAATCGTATATGGAAAGTACTTGGCATCATGCCTGGCCACTGTATGCCCACAATACCTTTCTCTCCTAACTAGCCCAGCCTCCTTGGTCTTTGGGGCTGGATGGGAAGCCCATGATGATCAGCATCCAGTAACTTCCTAGGATGGCTACTGTTAATCCCAATTAATCCAGAAACAGGATGGCTATTGGAGGCAGAGAAAAAAGCCCATCAAATCCTGCTTCCTCCCCCACGAGGGCTGTACGCTCTGCTTTTATCTGAAACATCTTCCCTTTTCCATCCTAGAAATGTTGATGTGCAGCCAATAAGCCTGTTCTAATGATATGCCTGCTCTCAGTTTGGCTGATGGGAGGGGTTCAACTAAGCCTTGGGCTTTGATGTTCTTCATCTGCATTTCCAGATCCTCCCCCATCTGTTACTGGGGCAGCAATAAGCCTCTCTCCCAACCAGCTCAGCAGGATCAGGCCCTGGAGTGACCATTCTTGTGCCCAGAATGTGATGCATAAGTCAGCAGAACCCCAGCTGCAGCTCCTGCAACCTTGGATGTGGGAAACTGAGGCCCCAGTGGTTCTGCCCAGTGATTCCCTGACATGTCCTGTCCCCAGGCCTGCAGGTGCTGCTGCCTGAGTACCTGCGTGAACGCTTTGTGGCCGCAGCGCTCAGCTACATCACGTGCAGCTCCGAGGGCGAGCTCATCTGCAAGGAGAATGACTGCTGGTGCAAGTGTGGCCCCACCTTCCCTGAGTGCAACTGCCCTGACGCCGACATTCAGGCCATGGAGGATGGCCTGCTGCAGATCCAGGACTCCTGGGCCACTCACAACCGGCAGTTTGAGGAGTCAGGTGAGCATCCAGCAGGCTAGGAATCCTTCCCTGTCAATGCGAGGTAGCTGTGGGGTGCAGGCATAGCAAGAACATGGGAAACTCGGCTTGATCCTGGCTCTGCCACTTACTGTCTCTGTGACCTCAAATGGGTTATATCACCACCTCAAGTCTCATTTTCTTTTTTTTATTCATATGTTAAAAAACATACTACCTACCTAAGAGATGTGTTTTAAGGACTTAATAAGCTAAGTAAATACCTTTGGGGCCAAAGGACTTGTCTAACTTGCACTTCCTTAATTCAACAAATATTTATTGTGCACACTATGTGCCAGGCACTGTCTTAGGTGCTGTCGAATCTAAAGCTGGTATGGCAAAAGCTAAATGGTGGGCACACAGGAGTTCATCTTGTTATTCTCTTTGCTGTCCTGTATGCTTTAGTGTTTCATAAAAATAACTGTGCACATGTTAATTGTTAGTGCCCACCTTCTCCAATCTTCTGGGGGAATGAGGAACCAGGTATTTGAGAAATCAGAATGAGCCGCGGCCTCAGGTGTCTCTATTTCAAGTCCTAGACAAGGCATTTAGTCACTAAGGGAAATATCACATTCCAGTTTCCCAAGCCCAGGAGCTTTGAGCAAATGGCAGTGAGGGATGCTTGATAACCCTTAAACCAGATGCCACTGAGTCAATTCTGACACATGGTGGCCCCATGTGTGCAGAGTAGACCTGTGCTCCATAGAACCTTCAAGACTATGATCTTTCGGAAGCAGATCACAAGGTTTTTTTTCTGAGGTGCCTCTGGGTGGATTTGAACGTCCAACCTTTCAGTTAAAAGTTGAGCCCTTCACCATTTGTGCCACCTAGGGACTTCCAATAACCCTTAAGCATGTGGGAAATGACTTCAAATTTTCACTGCTATCAGTTACTGCTAATGAGTGAAGGAGTACGCCCAGACCTCCACCAGGAAAGACTTGGTAGCTGCAGGTCCCAATAAAAGCAGAACAGATGACAGAGACCAGAGCGTGAGTTCAGGAAAATGTTGTGTTCAGGAAACTCTGGGAAGAACTCAGACTTGCAGTTGGAGCTGAGAACTGGGAAGCAAATTGTTTCTGGATTTATTATAGAAGAGAACAGGTATCTGGCCAAGTGCTGAAGCTGGAAAGAGAGGAAGGGTATCTTACAGAGTCAGAGAGAAGGACGTGGAGGGGAGAGGCTGGTCTCAGGGGACTGAAGTTTCTAGGAAAAATTTCTGAGCTTGGTGCTGATCTTCCCTCCACGTCCATATTTGCCCATCTGTGTGCACGTCCACCTTCATGAGGTGGAGCTTCCATAACGGGGCTGTGGTAACATCAAAGAAGGCTGGCCTGAGACTGTGCTGTGTATGACTTATCAGGAGTGTTAAAGAGACGTGTCCAAGGTCATAACCAAAAGCAGAATCTCCAGCCCCTCAGATGGTGACAGAAATCTGTTTCTAAAATTCAGAGGTATGTTAAGGGCGGGAAGGATGGGAAAGAATCCTAGAGCCATATGTTATGGCATGCGAATTATATCTCAATAAATAAGTTTAAAAAGAGAGGAGGGCCTGGGAGTGTGGGTGGGAAGCCTCCTTCCTCAGGCAGTGACTCAGTAGGGCCAGCTGGGCATGAGAAGTGCCCACCACCCGCCCCTCCCAGGGCTCTGTGTAGCTCCCTCTCAGCTCAGCCGGTGTTCATGCCCATAGAGGAGTTCCAGGCCCTGCTGAAAAGGCTGCCAGAAGACCGGTTCCTAAACTCTACAGCCATCTCCCATTTCTGGGCCATGGACACCAACCTTCAGCACCGCTACCAGCAGCTGGGAGCCAGCTTGAAAGTGCTGTTCAAGAAGACTCATCGGATTGTCCGCCGGCTCTTCAACCTCTGCAAGCGCTGCCATCGGCAGCCTCACTTCCGCCTGCCTAAGGAGAGGTGAGCATCCCCAGATGTCAGAGCCAGGGCCAGCACCTTCCCAACAGCTGCTCAGGCCAGGAGAACCCCGTGTCCACCAGTCTCCAATGAGAGGCTGGGAGTGACTCACATACTGCCTTCATGATTCTCCTGCCATGCTGACCGACTCCTGTGTTATTCTCAGTTGTGAGCTGTGTCTGAGTTAAAAAGAGAGACTGATTTTACTTTTCTATAAATTACAGTAGATCCAAATGTTATTCTAATAATACCCTTATTCTCACTTACTCACTTCCATTTTATTAAGTTTTTTAGGAAAGAAAGAAGTGGAGTTAAAGCACATACACTGGTTGCAAGAGAAATACATTGTATTGTTTCAAACAAGTCCTCTGCTCTGAATCACCAGTGCCAAGAAAGCTGAGACCCAGTGTCCTTGAGAACAAAGTGGGGCTGTATTATCATACGCACTCACTCATTCATCCATTTGTTCAACAAGTTATTACTAAGTTCATATTGCATACTCTAGTATTAAGCTATTTAAAAAAAAAAAAAAAAAAAACCCGTTGCCATCAAGTTGATTCCAATTCATAGCAACCCTATAGGACACAGTAGAACTGCCCCATAGGGTTTCCATGGAGTGGCTGGTGGATTCAAACTGCCGACCTTTTTGGTTAGCAGCCAAGCTCTTAACCACTGCACCACCAGGGCTCCCTAGTATTAAGCTATAGGGGATATTAATAAATTGGGAAGATTTAACAAGCACATAGAAATACAGAAGCTAGAAAATTATGTGGCAGCCACTTAAAGGGCACAATACCATTTCAACAACCTTCACGTGTAGAGTTCAGGGACATTAATTATGCTCATCATGTTGTTCAATCATCGACCTTATCCATTCCCAAATTTTTCCATGTATTTACCACAATAAAATAACTAACCATTGAGCTGTTAAAAATGAAAAAAAAGGCACACTGTCTCTTGGACCATGATCTACTAGAGACAAATGTCAGAGAGGAGAGCCTCCTTGGAGAAGAAAGTCATGGCCAAATTGTAAGGGAGGAGATGTAAATGGCCTGGAGCATACTAGGTGGGACAGCATTCCAGGCAAGGGGAGCTGCCTACACCACAGTCCAGAGGTGTGACTCAAACTGAGGCACAGGGTAAGAAGGGAAGGACAGGCCAGCAAAGGTTTCGGAGAAAGGTTCACTGATTTTTTTTTCTCCAATAAATATTCTTGTTGATGAATGATACAATATCCCTGCTCTCCTGGTGTTTAAAGGGAAGCAGTCTATGAATAAATCAGCAAGAAATAAACACAATAATTTTAGCTCCTGATAATTGCTGTGGATTAAATAAAAACAAGGTGATGTGCTAGAAAGGGGGTCAGGTGGCTCTTTTGAAAGGAGGGCCAGGGAGGGCCTCTTTGAAGAGGTTACATTAAGAGCTTGATATCTAAATGTAAGAGGGAGTCAGCCAAAGAAAATGCCTACGCTTAGTGGAAGAGTGATAGAAGCAGAGGGAATAGACAGAAACGGTGAAATGGAGATGGAGCTGGCATGAGGTGGAAACTTTGGAGAGCCAGGTGTTGGAAGACCTTACTTAGAAGGCTGAAAACCTCGATTTGATTCGATAGATGTTGGAGAGTCTCTGCAGGCTTTTGAATAAGGGAGTAAGGCAGTACTGCAGATTGATGAGCTTGCCTGCTTCCATACAAGTTTGAAGTCAGCTATTTATGGTGCCAATCCATCAGACACAGAGCTCAGGCTTTACTCAATCAGTCCAATGTGGAACACTGGGGTTTCCATCATTCAGAGAGGCACTAATGTGGTTGGGGCTTTTATCCTCTTCATTGCCTTCCCTGTCTATTGGTCAGTGTCCTGCTACCCTCAGGGTGGATGGCATGGTACAACTTCCTTTAACTCTTGCTTCATTTTTATTTCCCCTCCTCAAGGCCCTTGTTCTACTGGTGGAACCGAATCCAGTCCCTCCTCTATTGTGGAGAAAGCACCTTCCCTGGCACCTTCCTGGAACAGAGCCACAGTTGCACCTGCCCCTATGAGCAATCTTCCTGCCAGGGCCCCATCCCATGTGCCTTGGGTGAAGGGCCAGCATGTGCCCACTGTGCTCCAGACAACAGCACACGCTGTGGGAGCTGCAACCCGGGCTACATGCTGGCCCAGGGGCTATGCCGGCCAGAGGTGGCTGAGTCCCTGGAGAACTTCCTGGGATTGGAAACAGACCTGCAGGACCTGGAGCTGAAGTACCTGCTGCAGAAGAGGGATAGCCGCATTGAGGTGCACTCCATCTTCATCAGCAATGACATGCGCCTGGGAAGCTGGTTTGACCCTTCCTGGAGGAAGCGCATGCTGCTCACACTGAAGAGCAACAAGTACAAGCCTGGGCTGGTGCACGTCATGCTGGCCTTGTCTCTGCAGATCTGCCTCACCAAGAACAGCACCCTGGAGCCTGTCATGGCCATCTACGTCAACCCCTTTGGGGGCAGCCACTCTGAGAGCTGGTTCATGCCCGTGAATGAGGGCAACTTCCCAGACTGGGAAAGGACTAACGTGGATGCAGCTGCCCAGTGCCAAAACTGGACTATCACCTTGGGGAACAGGTGGAAGACCTTCTTTGAGACGGTCCACGTTTACCTACGGAGCCGCATCAAGTCCCTGGATGATAGCTCCAATGAGACAATCTACTACGAGCCTCTAGAGATGACTGATCCCTCTAAGAACTTGGGCTACATGAAAATCAACACCTTGCAGGTCTTTGGTTACAGCCTTCCCTTTGACTCAGATGCTATCCGGGACTTAATTCTCCAGCTTGACTACCCATATACTCAAGGTTCCCAGGACTCTGCCCTCTTGCAGCTCATTGAGCTTAGGGACCGGGTGAACCAGCTTTCTCCACCCGGCAAAGTCCGGCTTGACCTTTTCTCCTGCTTGCTCCGGCATCGGCTAAAGCTGGCTAACAACGAGGTGGGCAGGATCCAGTCCTCCCTGAGGGCTTTCAACTCTAAGCTGCCAAACCCCGTGGAGTATGAGACAGGCAAACTCTGTAGCTAATGGGGAGCCCACTCCAGTGCTGGGCAGGGAGGAGGCCTGCAAATCTGGGGTGTAGAGATAATTCAAGCTTTCACCTTAGTGCCAACCGGGTGCGCCCATGAGACTTTCAGCACCCAGCAGATGGGAACTTGAGGCTTGGACCGAAGCAGGCGGGAGGGAAAGAAACAGCCATTACACACACACACACACACACACACACACACACCACACGTATATGCACACAATCGCACGCGCTCCCACAGGGAGGCTACAGCTCAGCAGCCTCGGATCTGGGAAGTCGTTGCTTTCTCAAATGAATGCAGTTGAAGGACAGGAGCCAAGGGAGAGATTAAGAAGAAGAACCAGCCAAACCATGCAACAAACAATTCTTAAAAGTGACACTTGCTATTCAAGAAAGCAAGAAGGGACAAAAACGGGAGGGGTGGGAGCTCTTCCTCACCCTCTGTGGAGTCACTTTTGTATTCTTTTTAACCAGATTTCTTAAAATGTTGCTGTTTCGTGATTCCCCACATTGGTTCTCACTTTTTGTATGCTGTCCCCAACCCCTGTGCCTCCCATATGCGGACTGCTCCTCAGAGCCTGCTCCCTGAGGAAACGTGAGAAACGAAACCCACAGAGGAGGGGGGAGGGCGGGCAGGCGGCCTTGCTGCCTGCCTCGCCTCTCCCTCTCTCCAGCTCCCTTGTTTCCTCAGCCTCCCCGGTTTTAGAGCCCTGGCTTACTCCACGTTCGTTCCTATCGTGGTTTGTCCAGATGCCTCTTCCAATGGCACCCAATCTATCCACGAAAGCAGTACTGTCAAGTTAGTGAGCGACAATGTATAAGGAAATGTTTTTTTTTTTTAAAAAAAAAACAAAAATATTTATTTTGTGATTGTTTTCCTTGTCAATCTGCTCCAGCCACATGAAATCTGAGTAAAAATTTACCTGGTTTAATATATTTTTTAAAAAGGCCTTTTTTTTTTAGGGACAAAAATGAGAGAGAAAAGAGAAAAGAAGAACATAGTTCCCTGGGTTGCCTGGACTTTTTATTTATTTTATTTGCTACATCCATGAGATGTGAATATCCATGGATGGAGGATATTGCTGTGTGGGAGGGTGGTTGATTAGTGTATACACAAGTGAATGCATGCCTCTGTTGACTGGGGCGTGAAGGGGTGTGTGTGTGTGTGTGTGTGTGTGTGCGCGCGTGCGCGCGCGCGCGCGCACGCATGAGAGAGAGTGTATTTGAATGAGAAGTGAAGCCATACTCCCCCAGAGAGGTATCTCTATCTCCTCCCTTGTTTTTTTCCCGGGTATGAGGTCGAGCACAGGTCCTACATTCATAATGTCCCACTATGAGGAGAGTAGCATGAAAGTTCTTGCTGACAAGGGGAGCGCTAGCCTTTGTGCTGAAGCCAACGGCTGCTACCAGGCCTCCTCTTTGCCTTCACTGCTGCTGGCATCAGGCGAATTTCCCAATCCTCTGCATCTTATGGGCTGGGATCACCGTTTGGGGAAATGGGGAGAGATGCAGATGTGGGATTGGTTTCCTCCACCACTTTCCCCAACCAGCATGCAGGTTTGATAGATACCACGCAAGCAATGAATCATTTCCCCCTTAGTGCCCTCCTCCAGGTGCTACAAGAATCATTTCCTAGCATGTCTTTTGGAAAACTACGTCTCTGGCTACTTTCCACATGTTCCAAGTACAATGTGTAGGCATGACAACCCTCATTTTATTGAGGTGAAAGTCACCACATAAATACTAAATATCTCATTCCCTACCTGTGGTACATCGCAGTTGGTATAGAATGAACTGGGAGACAATGAAAGGATGGTCACACCTCTCTGCCCAAGAGCCTTCTAGGTTTATTGCTGCATAGAGAAGAATTCGGCATTATATTTATGCATTGCACTGTCTTTCAACCTAGGAGCCCTGAAATCCTTCATAGATGAGCAGCCTAGGGCATTTCTTTCTTCACAATTGCCCTGAAAGCTTCTAGGGTAGAAATGCAGAAATGCAGAGGGGAAGATCTAGAAGTGAACACAGTTATTGGCTGCCTATTTCTGGTTCAGTCACTGCCTTGCTTTGGGGAGTTTGTAGCAAGCTCCTCGTCTGTGGGAGATGGAACTGGCAGATGTCATCATCCACAGGAGTGTTGAGATGTGCCAGAGGAGGGTGCTTTTGGTGGAAAGGTGGCTGGGAATGGTGGAACAGCTTTGATAGCTCTCAGTTATGTGGTTTAAGAGGTGTTAGGTAGATATTAGAGTCTGGTTTTAGCACTCTGAGTGTGTATGTCTATGTGTTGTAGAAGTGGGTGGACAGAGTTAAAGGCACACTTTTAGGTAGCAAACAGTCAACTGCCTTGCACTGTGGCATTCAGAGTAGGGAGGACCACAGCTGAGACAGTAGTTTGCACAGTTAAAGTCAGCAGTGTGCAGCCTCAGGAAATGGACATGATTGCTCTGGTGGGAACTGCGTCAGTACCTGAGGGCTCATGTCCTCACCTGGGCCAGGCCTCAGTCGTGCAGAAGGATGGGAAACTCAGCCATCAGCTCTGAATCAGAGACCAGACTGAGGGAAAGCACATCTATGGATTCCTTAGGTAGATGCTGCATTTCTTTATCTTGGCTCTGCATCTTGGGAGGCCTTTAGGAAGACGATGTTGTGATGTACTATGGTTTTAGAAATATACACATCCAGTTACAAGGATTCCCACTTCTTGCCTTCTTGATGGTTTAAATCATGAAGCTGATTGTGTCACCTCCATCTAAATAGTAGTACTACATGCTGGTAAATATTTAGGAGTGCCCTTCTGAGCCCAGATGCAAGATGTCTTGAGAGAAGGCCTGAAAGACATTATTAACTACAACAGCAGAAATGTTTCTTTCTCCTACTCATCTGTTATCTGTGATGGATTCCTGACTCCTCTGTGTTGGGACAGTGATGGGGTGTCTGGTGCAGAAGAGCTTATATCAAACCAGCAGACCAAGGATTTTGCTTCTAGAAGGCAGGGAGGAGGAGAGCGGGGGTGGAGGATTCCTTAGGAGGCTTTTAAAGCATTGAAACCATGAATTCAGGATAGAGTTTCTCAGAAAGCTAGGTTAAGAAATGCCATGATAAGAAAAGTCTGTCTGCAGTTGAAATTATAGCCTTAAGATCTCTAATAATCAGAAAATGTGAGCCATCTATTCTCAGACACTGTTGCAAATAAAAATTGTCGCCAATTAGTACTGGGTTGTCGATGTAGGTGAACTCATTGTGGAATTATGAGCCAAATCACAATTCAATTCTTAATATGAAGTAGATAATAATCATGAATACAAGTTTTAATTGTAACCCTAAAGAACTAATACATCAAATGCTAATCTGCCCTAATGTTCGAGACTAATACCTCTAATACTAAATACTATGTTTAATACCTGCTGCTAATAATAGAATGCTATGGTATGCAAGCATGCTCATGCATCAACAACCAGAACACAGATGAAGATCACTTCAAATATTGGGTATCACAGATAATTCAGATCTAGTTCTTGGCTTCCTTTCAAAAAATGAAAATATTGGTCATGATGAGCAAGGCTGCCTTGTGAGTACATGGGATGTTTTACCTACATGATGTCCTGCCCCAAAATATCACTTCCAAAGTCTGTAATTTCATCCTGTAAGTCTATTCACTGGCCTTTCAGAGAGGTCTTTTTCTGCCATTACTTTCTGTATAAAAATTACAATACCCTTAGGAAGAAATAAGTCTTGTAAGTGAACCCACTGGCAAAATAGAGGATTAGATTTTTGGAGTTCGAAGGTCGTTAGAGGTCATCCAGTTTAATCTACTCATTTCTGATACAAGGAAAAAGAGGTTAAATAACTTGAGAGGCTAAATAGCTTGCCCAAGGTTGTATCTAATACCAGAGTTATGAGCAGGAGTCTCATTTGGTTCTCTCTCTACCTCTCTTTGCCTATCAAGGATATCTGGGTCCTGGGGAAAAGGGATTCATCTCAGGACTTGGGAATGTGGGGATGGAGGAGAGAAGACAATTTTTCCAGAAAGGAGAAGAAAGCTGCTAAAAAGTGGGAATATCTTCACAATTTTCCCTATGATTGGTTCTAGCAAATATAATCTGCTACTATAACAGGTAACTCCTTTCAGGCTGAGGAACTTTAAGCATAGGGTAGATATTCATCCATCTAGGCTGGAGGTAGGGGTGAACTTCCTGGTTTCCTGATGAGCCTATCAACTCACTGTTTTTTAATTGCAACACCCTGCCTTTCAACTTAATTTTTTTAAAAATAATCACCAATTAGAGAGTTATCTTTACAAAACTGATAATTTCCACAAAACATCTCCCTTGTGAGGGCTAGAGGGGTCTGGGTACCACCAGCACCCAAAGACCTTGGGTTGCACAGTTACCATAGTAAGTACGAGGCCGACATTTAGGATTTAGGGCCACGGACAAGAAGAGAAATAAGGCCAGAAGCTGCTGTACACCAAGAGTCCTTGCTCCTTCCAGCAACGGAACAAAGATAATGCAGACTGAGGGAGTTACCCAAGACACAAAACTGTGGCCTGAGTCTCCTGGCCTGACTTCCTTCACTACAGAAGATACATTAAGCATGTTCAGGAGGAAGGGTAGGTTGGGAAAATTTTACAGTTCAAGTCTGACTGTCACTAGACACACCTTTCTTCTTGCAGACCTGGTTCTCATCCCAGTTCTGTCACCAACCAGCTCTGTAACTGTGGGCAAGTTACTCCAATTGTCAAGGACTCAATTTGCTCCCTTGTGAAAGAGGGAGTTGGATTTCCTTTGCAGGCACTGGAGGTCCTGCTAGCTCTATGCTTTTATGCATTTAAAGCAGTGTGGCCAGGAGACAGGACGTGGATTTACATAGTGGATCAGCCACTTACTGTTTAAGTGACCTTAATTTTTGATTTGTATCCTTATCTGTAACCCAACTGCTTCATCTCACCTAAGATTTTTCTTTTTCTTTTCTGAACATTCACCTCCCTGCATTCTTTTGCTCCATACTTTCCAACTTCCAAATTACACGTTTTCCTTCAGTTCCTTAAAACTCCATCCTATTTTCTCCTTCCCTCCCTTCCTTCCTCCCTTCTGTCTTCCCTCTCTCCATCCTTTCCTCCCTCCCTCCATATACAAGTGCTGGACCTAGGCTTGGTGTGGTATATTTAAAACTGTATGGAACATGTTCCCCTACTGTGAAGAACT